AATCTTTTGTGATAAACACAAGCTTGCCATAAATATTTCAAAAAAAAATTCGGCTTTGCATTCTAGAACCAAACATATTATGCTACGCCATCATTTCCTCACCGCCGCCATCATGTAGCAGTAAACTAAATTATCCCTAGTATTTGTTGACACAAAATCTCAGACTAGCGGAGTATATTCACTAAGCCTCTTTGGAGAGCGATGATTTTTTGTCGCCATAAGCAAATAGGTTTGGGTCCTATGCACATACTGTTGAATGTTCTACATTGTGTGCTTGTTTAGTTGTCGTATTATATTTCTTTTACCCCATTTTTTTTTTGATTGTTGCAAAGGGGAAAACTCTCTCTTTTGTTGCACATCCTTAGCGGGACTCATAGATAGGGCGGAGCATCTTAAATCTATAAGTTATTTATTTTTTGCTCTTAAATGGTTGGTTTCGTCCATCACAACCAAAGGCGGAGATTGTTAGCCCTTAGTTTTGATTGATTTCCACGAACCACCATTATTGGCTACTAATGGCTTATTGAGTGAAATTGTAGCTAAGTCTATTTATCAGATCGTTAGTTGCCATCAATGCTGAGGATGGATGGAATATATGCTTACAAAATAATATCCAAAGGAGGAGGAGGCCCAAGGCAGATGAAGCAACGGTTAATTCGCAGAACCGCACAAACTCGAATAAAAGCTTCATCCGATTCAAGCTAATCAAAGCTCGAAGTATTGCCGCTTTAAAATGCAGGATTATTAGCTTTCCTTATGTTTATCTCTAGTGCTAGAATGTAGGCAAAGAGTCACTATGTTTACATGAAGCCTATTTTGGGACTTAACACACATGTTTTCTTCTTAAACTTTTAAGCCGCTTTTCACAAAACCTTATTTTCACAAATACGAGAACCTTATCTGCCAAAATTCTTCTTCAAACAGTTTGTTTTTAGATCAAAACAATTTCTACAAAGTTTTAGATTTTTTTCAGAGAAGTCAAAATAAATATTTTACAAATATTTAACTTGCGTCTCCCAAAAAAGCATGTTTCCACGCAGATGCTCAGAAAACGGTCGCCACCTGATCGGTCGACCGCACAAATCATCTTTCTTCAACTGGTTCTCCAGAAATGGTCGTCGGTCCGACCGGGCCGTCGACCGCAATTCTCGATTCTTCATCCTGCCGCTCGACCGATCCGGTCGACCGACCAGTGTTTCTGCTGGTTTTCTAATTTCTGAAGCAGCTCGGGGCACGGTCGCGACCCCGAAATTTTCGGAATCGGCTCGACCGACGTGTTTATCGCGGTCGACCGAACGTTATTTCGGCCGCACCGCTTTTTTCTTTCTCCTTCAGTCAACACCGAGATTTTTTTACACGTCTCATTTTTTACATTTTATTTTCGATTGTGGTGCCTTCACTCTTTTGTGCTTGGCTCGAGTCTGATAGCCTAAGACTCGTCGCTAAAGGGGATTAATCTTCCTAAACAGGAAAGACTTGGACCGTTTGTTTTTAAAATTGTTTAATCTATTCTATAACAACCCCCTACTGCTGCCTTCTTCTTCCTTTGCCCAGCAAAAACGTTTGAAAAAAACCAGAGAGAAGTGTTTTCTGTTCTGCTGAGAAAATTTTTCAAATCAGTCCTGGTTTCTTCTCTGTGGTTTTGTGTGACGCCTCACCTCCAGCTTCAGAAATTTGCTTCTCTTGCCATAGGAGCTTTGTAAGAGAGAGTGTCTACATCTGCTTATCTTGTGCTGTGTACGTTGGTGAGATCTTGAGCTAAGACTTACTGTGAAGGACCGTGATCTGTTGAGATCAAACTGCTGTCACGTCGCAGCCAGCAGATCGTCGTCGGGATCGGCCTGTTGTAGCACGAAGTTCCGGGACTTCCAAACCGGCTGTGTAGTGGATTCTCCTCGAGATGGGGAGCGGGCACGCTTAGCGCCAGAGCGGCCGCCAATCCTCGTTAAACCACATCGCGCAGCAAGGATAACGATTCCTAACCCTCTCTTATTTACACTTGTTTGCGATCTATTTACTGTTGAATATTATTGTGTGTTTATTAATTGCCATATTAGCAGCCTTTTGACGCCTAATCACCCCCCCCCCCTCTAGGGCCAACCAGGTTTGCTCAAGCAACCCCTAGCCGAACTTCGGCTTCTACTAGCAAAACTATGGCTTTTGATAACGAACTTCACCCAACTTCGGCTGAGGCAAAAGTTCCTATTGGTCTACTATCAAGACGCGTTCAACAACGTCAGCGCCAGAACCAAGCTCGCCACAGGGCTTGAGCTTTGATCTCGCTAGATAGTTTTCACTATCGACCGAGAGCTGACTAGCCCAAGGTCAACAGGTCTGACAAGAGTCAAGTGATTGAGGGACGTCAAAATGATGAACCTCATCCTCATACCTGAGTAGACTTAGAACACAAACCTCATCTCAAAAAGAGGTTCAGCAAATTCAACAATCATCCTCATACCTGAGTAGACTTAGAACACAAACCTCATCTCAAAAAGAGGTTCAGCAAATTCAACAAGCGGTTCATACCGAGGTTTGTCAAGAAAATGAACCACAAGTTAAGAACCAATCGAGAAGGCGAATGCGCCAAGCTTCGTTGGTATTTTCGACGTCTTCGTACCAACGAGCCTTTCTCTTGGAGGAGAACTTCTTGGACTTCTTGGACTTGTGAGGGGAGGTAGATCCAGACGAGGATGATAGATGCTCCTCGAACTTTTGTTGGTCGAACTCATACTCGACCTCCTCCTCGACCGGGATCGAGATCCGCGGCTGCGACGCAACGATCTCGGCAGCGAGATCGGTGGCTCCCACTGTGGTCGCCAGATTGTTCGCGGGAAAAAGAGTTACAAAGATCCGGTCTTTTTTAGATCCGGTTACAACGAAATCAAAGAAAAAAAATAAAAATTACAACTTTCTCCTTTTGAACAAATCGAGAGCTCCTGTTTTGCGGTAGCTCGCTTTGTGTGGGTTCTTTGCCGACGCCAGGGTTAATCCGTGGATCACCGCGCGATCTAGATCCGGTCGGATCTACACGATTCGACGGGTATTATTCCACGAAGGGAATAATAGCCGGGGAGGATTAGTTCACCAAGGAAATAATCGTTCAAATCTCGGGATCAAAGGCCAAGCTTTGATCCGGAGTGTAGTTTCGTGTAGATCTGAGATCTGATTTTTACCTCTCGAACACCTGCCTTTTGTGACGTGGACGCTCGCCGAGAATCAGATCTGAATCTTCAAGTCCTCAAGTCTTCAAAACTCCAAGCTCGATCTTCAATTCGGCAGAGTTTCGGCTCTCAAAGTTCCAACCTTTTGAAATGAAACAAGGGGGGCCTATTTATAGGCTCCCTTTACTGTGCCCGGGCACATATCTGGCCGGCCACCTCAGGGTGGCTCGGCTTTGTAAAAATAACAATCTTAATTCAATGAATTCAATGAAGACAATTTTTGAAATTATTCAAATCAAGGCGAATTCATTGTCTTCATTGATATCATTCAAAATTAAGACCACCCTTGGTTTGCCCGAGCCCCCCCTTGGTGATATTGATATAATTTCGAATATCACAATGAATTATATCAAAAAGCAAAGGCCGAGCATTGACCCTAGATTTTAATTTGAAGATTGATTTTTGATATAATTTTAAGATTATAATTCGTCATAATACATGAATTACATCATTGTTCCGTCATTGACCTGATTACCAGAGATAATCAACGAGTCATTCAAGCAAAGGCCGAGCACTTATCCGGATATAATAAATGAATTACATCATTGTTGAGTGCAATAGAATAGTTTATGCTTCAGATTTCGACACTGAAGAAGAAGAATTTTATATTCTATCTTCAGCTGGAAAGGAGACTCGAGGTGGGATCTCCACCCCCAGAATCCGGAAAGGTGAGACTGAGAGTGGGATCTCCACTCCGAGAATTGAAAAGATTCGGATAACCCTAACTGTCGGAA